CCAGCAGGTGGCGTGGTGGTTAAGGGCGCTGGACTCTCACATGGCTAACCGCAGTTCGAGTCCTGGACCTGGTGGCTTGCTTTCTTACCTTCTCTCTTTCTCTCTCTGTCCCTCTCTGGTCAAATTAAAACATAAATAAAGTTAAATAAGACAATAATTATTAAAAAAAAAAAAAAAAAGAGAGAGAATTTGGATGGTGAGGGACCAGCAGATGGTGTAATGGTTACATTGCTGGACTCCCACATAGTCAACTGCAGTTCGAGTCCAATGTGGACTTAAAACTCACAACAGGCCCATGTGCGTGTGTGTCCAAGATCTTGAGAGGAGAATAGGGAAGAAGGGATTGTAGCATGACCATCCTCCGGGGAATAATTTTTTTGCTTTTGTCTCTCTGTCTCTGTCTCTCTGGCAAGGGTGCATGCCCTATAGCAAAAATGTCTCTCAAAAAAAAAAAAAAAAAGAATTTGGGGGCCGGCAGGTGGCATGGTGATTAAGGGTGCTGGATTCCTACATGGCCGACCACGGTTTGAGTCCTGGACCTGGTGGCTTGCCTTCTCCCTTTCTCTCTCTACCTCTCTCTGGTCAAATTTAAAAATAATAATAAATGGAAACAAATAAATAAATAAATCTTTAAAAAAGAAAAAGAATTTGGATGATGAGTCCTGCTGTCAGGAGCCAGAATCTTATTTACAGACCAGAGAGGGTCCACCAGGAGTACATCACCACATCCTGAAAAGCCCTCGGCCCCTCACGGGCCCATCTGGCCTCGTAACCAATCCTTAAGTAAGCCTGAGGGGTGCAAGATCTCTGCCGTCTCTGTACACATCAAAGCTGGCTTTGAATAGGTCAAGCCACCTTCCTGAGGTTCATGTCTATCCCCAACACTCCACCAAAGTGGGGAACCTCTCAATCCCTTCCAGGCTTTTTGGGAGACCCTCCCTCAATTTCCCTAGGTGAGTGGAGGTGAGCAGGTAGGCTTGCAACTCTCCCACCCCCTGGAGATCAAAGGTCATGTCAGCTCCTTGAGTATTCCAGGTCTCTAGGAAGGAAGCCCTCTGGGGGCAGGAAGTTGGTTGTGCTGACTCACAGGCTAAGGGAGAGTAATCCAGGAAACTTGTCACTCTGTTACCATGGCATCAGGGTGCCTGCCACCCCTTCCTCTCTGAGGCTCACTCACAGGCTGGGTGCCTGTGGTGGGGGTACGGCATGGCCATACCTTCCCTGCTGACCCGCATGCTGCACCTGATCCCATCTTGCCCACGGATTTCCCACTTCCTGGCAAACATAGCTACCTGTGTAACTGCGTTCTGGTTAAAGGGGGTCTGCTATGGGGCCCAGCCCTTCCCTGGCTGCAGAACTACAGGGATCCCAGCAGCAGAGCTGGTAAACCTCTGGCCTGGCTGGGAAAAGGTCTCCACAAGGCAGTCTGATGAGCCAAGGCCCACCCAACGCAGCCTCTCAACTTCCTCGGCGTATTTAGGAAAAGAAGGTGACATGTGACTATGAGGACCGCCCTGCTGGAACGGGAGAGAGGGCTGGAGAAGGCAGGACAGCACTGCCCACCTGAGCTTCACCTCTCCTGCAGGGAGAGGAGGCCAGGGCAGCTATGAGTTTATGATCACAAGAAAAAGGAGAACAAGCACCCCCATCTTAAGCCCAGATGGGGAACACTGACAACTGGTGGCTCCCTTTCCCCCATGGGGATAAAACTTGCTTTGGCTTAAAATAAACATTTGGCTAGGGCTAGCAGGTGGTGTGGATGTTAAAGCACTGGGACCCAGGGGCTTGAAAATCACTCCAGGCACGTGTGCGCATGCGCACGCCCAAAATCCTGAGAGGAGAATGGAGAAGGGATTTTAAGAAGGGATTTTAGCGTTACCATCCCTCCAGGGAGTGATTTTTCTTTTTCCCTCTCTGGCAAGCACATTTGCCTTGTAGCTAAAACTAAAAGGAAGGGGAAAAATAACAGAAAATAACACATTTTGATGTATTTCTCATTCTCTTAGCCTGATCCTTACACATCCCTGGCTGGACGCTGATCAGAGCCCTGGACTGCAGCAATGGCACAAGTACCCAAGTGAGTTCTGGATGCCAGCACACCTGGGTTCAAATCCTGCTCTGCCAGACTAACTGCGTGTCTCTGAAAGTTTCTTGACCACCTCAAAAGGTTGTTGAGGAGTGAGTCTAGGAGTTAGGGAACCTACTGGACACAGCGACTAGGAGACAGTGCATGTCAGTAAATGTGAGCGACTCAGAGATTCTTCAGACACAAGGCAGACTGGTCTTTTAGGATCAGGAAGTGAGAAAACAGAATTCCACTACAGTGACTTAAACTAAAAGCTAGTGGGCCACCCCTTTACAAACACAGTGACTTCTCTTAAAGGGTCCCTCAACTTCATTCCCAATGTCTGAGAATCTTTGGAGGAGCAGCTTTCACGCACCAATTTAGAAGTCAAGGCTCAGAAGGTGATATGACTGGCCTGAGGTCACACAGGCAGCAAGAGCGGCAGAGTTGGGAGAGCTGCTTCTTGACCAACCCCTAATCTCCTGGCAGGTCCTCCGTGGCCCAGTGTGTTCGGGGCCACTGAAAACCCAGGTTCCACTGCATGGGCTCACTTGTTTGCAGAACACAAGGAGAGTGGCAGACACACTCCCTTCCCAAGAAAGCAGGAAGGGTGCAGCCACTCCCTCCCGCCAGGCCAAGGGCTTAGCTCACTCACTCACAGGAGGCAGGAGTGCTCCAGGCTAGAAACCTTGGGGCAGGGGCAGACCCTATTCATGCAAGCTGATGTCACTGAAAGTGATAATGCAGTCTTTATGTAGTGCACTGGCCCAGGGAGACTGCAGGATTCCAGGCCTGGAGGTATCTGCAGAGCTACTTCTGGGGCTCAACCTGCAGTCTCACCCACCACACCCCTCAGGGCCTTCCCACTCCAGCCCTTTGGGACATAGGGCTTGGAAAATATGCCTACCCCCTAAACCAAGAAAGAGCCCATTCTACTGGAACATGTCCCACCCTCCTCCCCCACACCCAATGACTCAGTGGCCAGTTTCTGCAGAAGCAGCTGAGGGTGGGAGCAGTTATCAAACTCTCAGGCTGAGGCTCTCGGAAATCGGAAATCGTGGTGGAAAAAGGGTACAGGGGAGGTCCCCTGTACTAACTGAGAAAAGCACACGACGGATACCTTCTGGCCCCAGGCTTGGGGGCACAAGACAGCTCCGAGTGTCTGGCCTCATCTTGGCCTCCTGACACCTGCCCTCGAATGGGCAGATTCCTTAGAGTCTTTCCTTTCCCCGGAACACATGGGGGCTGTCTCTGGAAGATCTAACTTCAGAGACATGCTTGCTGCACCGGGCTTGCTTATCTGATGGCACCCAAGCCCCCAACCCTCGACATCGGTATGGCTTGTTATTACTCCACACCGAAGTCTCTTGTCGCTCATCTCTCCCCACATCTAACACCTCTGACCCCCCTCCAGCATCCACGACAGCTTCTCCCAGCTCTATCCCTCACGCCGGCCCACCCAGCCCGTTCTCCAGTGGGACCCGTCGGGGGTAGGAGGGGGATAGGGCGGGCAGCCCGAGCTCACCATGGCGAAGCCGGAGAGCAGAGCTGAGGTCCGGCTGGAGGCTTTGAGCTTGGCGCGACTCAAGTAGAGCTTGCGCCAGGACAGCGCCTGCATCGAGTGCTCATTGAGGCTCATCACCTCGGAGTAACTCTGGCCGATCCAGTCCGGGTAGGAGACAGCAGGCGGCGGCGGTGGAGACCCCGAGGGCTCCCCGTCCCCGCTGCGGCGGCT